CTTTGGAGTGGACTTTGAGATTTGTAACTTTCTAGATCTTTTTTTATGCCCAAACATACACACTACACACTGACTAAAATTAAAAAAGTGAAAAAGCATAATAGGACCCCTTTAAGTAACACCATGACAAGTGAGCTATTTTGCTCAATATTCTCACGGCGCAAAAAAAATATTCAAAACACCTACAGAGTGCACGCATTACGTGAAGTCTATTGCACGTGCACATTTACAGTGTGCTATTACACTGCATGATTCAGTCTATTAAAATACACTCCTTTAGGAGTCAGCTGTCCACGAAAGTCCTTAAGATACCAGCGTGATAACACACTCACTCATTAAATGACTTACCGTCACTAGTTTAGTTGAAGTTTGTTAAAAAGTATGCATTTTTCCCCTCAACATTTCTTGTGTGTATATTCATAAATGCATTAAAAAAAATTACAGCTTATGTCTGGATTGCAAAGATGAATTTTGTTGATACTGATTTAATTTGCTTGGTAACAGCCCAAATGTCTTATTATTCTAATTCACTGATTAAATGTAAGAAATTGACTCAAAAGATAATGCACACTTATCGAAAAATGGCTTGATAAAGGTAAAATGCCCTTAAAAGGTAAAAATCAACTTAAACTTATTGGAAAAGATTCATTTCTATCTGACCACCACACAGAATATGATTAACTTTAGGAGTCAGCTGTCCACGAAAGTCCTTAAGATACCAGCGTGATAACACACTCACTCATTAAATGACTTACCGTCACTAGTTTAGTTGAGAAGTTTGTTAAAAAGTATGCATTTTTCCCCTCAACATTTCTTGTGTATATTCATAAATGCATTAAAAAAATTCTCATAACATTTATTGCAGTTGTAATTATTGTTATTTGCAGTGTAAATTATTTAATCTGACTGGTAGCAGCCCTATAGTGTATATTGAATGTATTGATAAATTATAATAATTTGACATGTAAGATGATGCATACATCTAAAAAGGTAAAAAAAAAATAGGCCTTTGTAAAGGTAAATATGCAGATTTAAGTTTGTAAAAGCTGATACAACACTGAAAATATTGCTTCAGAATAAGTAGTTTACTCCACCAAAAATCTCAGTAAAAATCAACTTAAACTTATTGGAAAAGATTCATTTCTATCTGACCACCACACAGAATATGATTAACTTTAGGAGTCAGCTGTCCACGAAAGTCCTTAAGATACCAGCGTGATAACACACTCACTCATTAAATGACTTACCGTCACTAGTTTAGTTGAGAAGTTTGTTAAAAAGTATGCATTTTTCCCCTCAACATTTCTTGTGTATATTCATAAATGCATTAAAAAAATTCTCATAACATTTATTGCAGTTGTAATTATTGTTATTTGCAGTGTAAATTATTTAATCTGACTGGTAGCAGCCCTATAGTGTATATTGAATGTATTGATAAATTATAATAATTTGACATGTAAGATGATGCATACATCTAAAAAGGTAAAAAAAAATAGGCCTTTGTAAAGGTAAATATGCAGATTTAAGTTTGTAAAAGTTGATACAACACTGATGAAAATATTGCTTCAGAATAAATAGTTTACTCCACC